GGAACCTGCCCAGAGGAAAAGGGCCTGGGGGTGTTCGTTGACAGCCACCTGCACATGAGCCAGCAGTGTGCCCAAGTAGCCAAGAAGGCCAACAGCATCCTGGCTTGTACCAGAAATAGTGTGGTCAGCAGGACTAGAGCAGTGATCCCCCTGTACTCGGCACTGGTGAGGCCACACCTCATATACTGGGTTCAGGTTTGGGCCCCTCACTACAAGAAAGACATTGAGGTGCTGGAGCATGTCCAAAGAAGGGCAAAAAAACTGCTGAAGGGCCTACAGCCTAAGTCTTACAAGGAGTGGCTGAGTGAACTGGGGTTGTTTAGCCTGAAGAGAAGGAGGCTCAGGGGAGAGCTTATCACTCTCTACAACTCCCTAAGGGAGGCTGTAGTGAGGTGGGGGTTGATATCTTCTCCAAAGGAACAAGAGGAGATAGGACAAGAGGAAATGGCCTCAAGTTGCCCAGGGCAGGTTTAGATTGGACATTAGGAAATATTTTTTCACTGTAACAGTTGTCAAGCCCTGGCACTGGCTGCCCAGGGAAGTGATGGGATCACCATTTCTGGAGGTATTCAGAGGACATGTAGATGTGGCACCTAAGGACATGGTTTAGTAGAAATGCAGAAACAAGAAACTACATAAATGGAGTCCTCAGCACAAGAAAAACATGGACCTGTTGGATTGGGTCCAAGGGAGGGCCACAAAAATGCTCAGAGGGCTGGAGCACCTCTCCTGTGAATAAAGCCTGAGAGAGCTGGGGTTCAGCCTGGAGAAGGGGTCCAGGGAGACCTTATTGTGGCCTTTCAGTATTTAAAGGGGATCTATAAGAAAGATGGAGACAATATTTTTAGCAGGGCCTATTGTGACAGGACAAGGGATGATGGCTGGAAACTGAAAGAGGGAAGATTTAGGCTGGATATAAGAAAGAAATTTTATAATGAAGGTGTTGAAATACTGGCACAAGTTTCCCAGAGAGGTGGTAGGGTGCCCCATCCCTGGAAATATTCTAGGTCAAGTTGGATGGGGATCTCAGCAACTTCGTCCAGTTGAAGTTTGTCACCCTACTCACTGCAGGTGACCTTCAAAGGTCCATTCCAACCCAAAGCACTCTATGATTATGAGAAGAAAGGATCCATCCTACTAGGTTATAGAGCACAAAGAGTGAGTAGAGAAAGCTGCACAAGCCAACTACACCAAGTTCTATGATCACCCGTCCCTCCCTTCCATTGATCTATAAAGTGGATTAAAAGAGGAGACAATATTAAGATCAAGGTGGTAAATCTTGGTGGTGAGTTACTAGTTTGGAGCTTATTTTTGAGTTGTAATGAATGAAGTTACTAACTGTGCTCTTGCCAGCATGTTTGTGTCTTTACTACAGTGTAGAGGAGATGGGTGTTTACTGCAGAAAGTGTCCAGGAATGACTGTTAAGCCTGGAATAATTGACATGCTGTAGTACAAAGTGCCACAGCTTGCCTATGTACAGGGACTGATAGGAAGAACTTATGCTGTAACCTGCTGTGTTGTTGGTTGGGAATAACTGGAGATGTGACATGATGCTACAGTCAGGTCATTCATGAGAGCTCGTTGCGGTGTAGTTTTGAAGAGACAAGCAAGGACACAGGCCCTTTTAAGTAGGTGCTTCCCCCTGACACAAGGAAATCTTAATTCCACTGCACAGAGTCAGGGCAAGACCTGGAAGGTCTGTTCATTTATGCTCAAGAAAAGTTGAATTAGAAGTAGCAGGGATAGGAGGGAGAGCTGGTAAGATGATCTCCTAGGAGAACAACGAGGATGTGCAGGAGGCTGAAAATCAGAAGGATGTTTGTAACCTCTGAGGTGCTGGAGGAGCCTTCAAAGTGAGAGAACTGAAGGAAAGTCGTAAGAAGGTTAGGGCAGAACCACAGTTTGTAGGTTGTGAAAGGATTTTTCTGACGTGGTCGCCCAGCACAGTCAGATTCCCTTGCAATGCTGTGTCTGGCCAGCGCAACATGCCGTGCATGTGGCTCGCCTGCAGTTCATAATAGTTGTCCCGTTATCAGAGGTAAGTCCAGACCCTGCAAGAATCCAATTTTGTGAGGATGTAGGTCTGTGTCTTTAGGAAAATAGTGCAATTATTTAGAAAATTAGGTACAACCAAACTATACTTAGGGGATAAAATGTTACAAGGAAATACTCCAGGGCAGATCTCTCAGAGCTGCAGGGCTGTGATTTAGCAATTCCCCCAGTTGCTTAGGTGATACTCACTTGTGTAGAAGGTGTGGTTGAGTCTTTGTCTGCAGTTAGCTGGAACCTTTCTGCCTCAGCACAGAAACAACTTTTCCATTTTCATAAATGGAAAGAACAGGAAATTAAAATAAAGGATATTAATGGACTAACTTCTCTTGTAACAGATTATCGTGAAACTCATTCTTAAAGAATATTTCAATCAAAAAGAAAATTAGAAAGCCAACCTGGCATTTGCTGTGATCAAGTACAGGAACCAACATGGCATTCAGTCAAACAAGACTTCAGACATCACAGGTGAGAGTTTTTATGCTTTTCTCTAAATATTTTTTTTAGATTTCACAAATAAAAATAAAAAAAAATATTAAAATAAGTGACATCGCACCATTTCTAGGAGATCTGAGAGGGAAAACCCCTGTGCTTTTAACATAGTATATATAGAAAGCATTCTTTTCTAGTTCATATTTAGTAACTCAACATTTGCAAAAGTATTTACTGTAGCTTATTTCCACAGCTTCTCAATATAGGGAAGTGTATCATCCTTCTTAATAATATCATTTTTTACTAAAAATATCAAGACTTAGATATTAAGAATCCCACAACTACCAGAAGTTTGAACACAATCTAAGTGAGCCTTGCTTAGAGCAGGCTTAGCTATTCTTTTTGCAGACATTGCCAGGAGCATTTCTATGCTTCTAAGGTAGCTAACATTATTAAAACCTGTCAGAAATATTTAGACTTTTTTTCTCACGCTGGTGAGGTCAAGTTGTGGTGCTGTTTGGATCAAGCTTTCAGGGGTTTGCATTTTTAATGAGATGAACAAAGGTAGGTTTTCAGCCGGAGCATTCTTGTAACCGTGACACACTCCAGAGTATCAGCTGGTTTTGGTAAGCTCTGTCCATTGCTGTCACAATGACACAGAGCAGTAGCACAGGCTCTCTTTTGTTTCATTTTCATTGTCGAACATGTTTTAATGTGACTTATTTTGATGCTGTCATTTAATCACAAATTGCTCTACTCATCACTGTTCTCACTATCTAATCATCACTGGCAGATAGAGCCTCACTCTTCTAGTCCATTGGTGAATGTCAAAGAAATCATTCCTCTCTCCAAAAACTGAAAATTCTCCTAAACAAAACAAAGCATATAAGAGGGTTATAATATATCTGCAGTTATTTCCTTTATGTAGTTGGTGGAGCTCCATGTTTTTTATGTCCCAGAAGAAGTGTGGAACTTCACGCTGAATACAGTTCCCGTAGCTCTTAGTAGCAAGTTCGTCTCGGCCGGATTTATAAGGTGAGTATCGTCTTGGACTTCATGTCCATGGGAGGTCCTTTGCATTGTCCTTCAGCATTTAGTCTGGCTGTTGCTCTATAGAGCACAGTGACATCTATCAGAAGAGACTTGTTCTGTAATAATTTCGGGAGGGTAAGTGGTGCCCATGGCTAGTGTTATGTCTATCTGGACTGGATCAGGCTTAGCTCCATTGCAGCCCTTGGTGTAGATCATTGAAATGTACTTCCAGAGCAGTGCTGATATTTCTGCAGAATAATTTATGTTGTAAAATCAGTCTTATATTCTTTCTATCTCCTTGAGCCTGATTATCAAAATCTTGAATTCTTCTGGGCAATGGTCCAGCTTCAAGACCTGTTAATAATTTAAATGTATTTGTTAATAAATTTAACAGATTTGAATATTTTAATTTATTTAAATTATTATGTGTTGTCCACTTATTACCGTATGTATCTGAAAAGATTGACAACAGTCATGTGTGAGCAAGTAAGGCAGAATGTATTATTCATTCTTGCAGCTTCTTTTGTTGAGAGGCTGCCCCAAACCAGAGGAATTAACGGTGTACCCACAGTGTATCCATTTTGTTTGCTGTTCTAGTCTCCAGCAGAGGTGCAAAATACACATCAAATCATTTAATAGGATTGGGCATCTGTCACTGCCCTCTGTTCTCTAGTGTAAATTTACTGTACCAAGGCTCAATTCTGAGGGATTATTAAATTAGGAGTCTCACTGATTTCAGTGAGATTTTTATCTTTCTGGATATTTATTGCTTGCTAATAAGTCTCAAGTAATTGTTAATTAATTATTCTATGGGTACTATGAAATGCTGCAGTACATTAGCATTAAAAATAACTAGTACCTGGCAAGTGTAGTGCCGTTTTTAAAAACATAAAAAATATAATCTGTGAGAGGGAACAGCAGCCTTGCTGGTACTAATGCTGTTTGGTCGTTGTTGACAGCACTGTCCAGTCAGCTTGAAAATCCTGGTAACTGAGTCACCTTAACAAAGGATTCCTAGGTCTAAGTACAGGCCACTTCTATTAATGGTGAAATGAGAGGAAAATATCGAGTGTGTAATTGTCTGTGGCCCTGAGTTCTTGTTCTCATGAACTTGATTTCTCAGCCTCTGTGATCTCTTATTTATTCCTCATTCCTCACCACAGAAGCCATACTTTTGTTATTTCTAGGCAAGATTGCTGCAATGAACTCTAGTTTGCATTACTTTTAAAGGAACACTCTGAAGCAAATGACTCGGATGTGACTAGTCTTGTGCCAGCCAGTGGCAGCAAGTAAGAAATATGTTATTATATGTTCCTAATAACTGCACTGGCAAATAATTTTCAGATAAATTTCTACCCTGTAGCTCAGGTTCTGTATACCTAGATAATTTTATCCCATGATACATTTTAGTTGCTTAGAAGTTTTCTCTGCTGTTCATAAATGCCTTAGATTTAGATTTTCTTGCTGGTTTGGATGGGCACTCTCAGTGAAGGATGTGCAGTATTAGAATTACCTGTGAAGAAACTTGCATTTATTTGATTTCAGACGACCGTTCAAGGGACATATCTTCTCTGAGACACCAGCTTGAAGAAATGAGAGTGATATTTGAAAGATATTTGGATTATAGATATATCTGTTCTCACATAAGACCTTGGAAGGAAGTGTATTGAATTATTCATTTGTCTTTCTCATATTTCTTGATACATTAGAAATAAATTACCTTAGGACTAATATCAGCAGTAAATGTGGGCAAAATATGGCTGAGCAAGAAATAAACAGGACCTAAATGTACAGAGACCAAGCAGCATGGCCTAGATGAGTCCACTCCGCACACTTTGGTCTCCTCGGCTGCACGTGCTCCAAGGCACAAGATCTAGGATCTCGAGGAGGATTTTTTAAGTCCAGGGTGTCTGGAATAATGCAAGGGAAGCACTGTAGCCTACTGATGCACTGTGTTTATGAGACAAAACTGGGGTTATTTTTACATGTCTAGGGTGTGAAATGAAGGCACATAGGGCTGCTGGAAAGTGCAGACAAACCTTGACAGGTTAATGTTGAAGACCTGTCCACTACTAACCATCAGCATGAGGCCTCAAGTTGTTCTCTGGTTTATTTTATGTGGCAACATAGGAGCAATTAGAATTGGCTATGTTGCGTGTTGTGCTGCAGAGCTTTTGTGTGCCCCTTGCACATTTGGTTTTATTCAGGGAGATGCTTTCTATTCTATAGTGTTTTTTATACTGAGCTCATTACTTTAACATTTGCGAGGTTTCCAGTAGTACATTAAATTATGCAATTCATATTTGCATCAGCTCTCTCATCCTCAAACTGTGGTGGAAATATTCACACTGCAGCGTTTGATTTTGATTTAAAATACATTTGCATGTACACGTGCACACACCCAACTGTAAAGCTGTGTTGGAGGAGACAAAAATCAAAGGGATGTGCCTGTTACTTAAAGGTGGACAGTGACGACATCTCCTCTAGCCCCTAGTACTTGAAGGAGTATGTTCTGCAGGCATGGACTGTCCCCATGAAACTGTTAACTATATGGAAATGCATGACTGTACTTTCCAGTGTTTTTGTTATTCATCTGCAGATGAGCAAGAGCATTCTGAAGGAGTTGTTTTCAAATTTCAGCTACTTCCATATTCTTCCTTTGCATGGGGTTCCTAAAATATAGGTGTTGCCAGGTGATGTTTTAACAGCCCTTTTAATACAGTCTACCATGAAGTGGTACAATGGAATGTAAAGTGGTACAATATTCTGACTACCACACTAAAACTCTGTGGCCTATATGTAGTTAGGTTCAGTTCTAGGACATAGTTCCTGCCTTTGGTCATTCTGTCCATTCAAGCCAGCATGTGTATAGCATTATCTTCCCCCTCTTACTAACTAGCCATAATTATTTGATCTTACAGATGTACTAATGAATAACAACATTCTAGGGTGTCTCCTCACATCACACTAAGAGTGCTACGAGAGAAGCTTGGAGAGTACCTGGGTGGAGTTGCAGTTGCAGATAAATTCAGATTTTTAAAATGCATTGGGAAGAAACTAGCAGTGGTGAGTTTTTGGTTTTGTTTTTAATTTAGTGCTCTCCTGCTTTATAATGTAAAGTACAGATTTTGTTCCTGCAGATTAGATAATAGCGAATAGACAAGACAATAGTGATAACTTTAGGAGCACTGTTACCATTTGTTCTGAAACATTCTGGAGCATAAGCTCTTGTGAGAGCACATCTGCTTCCCCACATAAAAAGGCACAGCTGGACAGGCATCTCAGAAACATCGTAGAAAGCATCAGATGTCGTTAGTTACCATCCAGTGAAAACATGCTGGTTTTGATAAGTCAATGGATTAAATATGAAAAGTCTGCTTGCATTAAAAAAAAAAAAAAAAATCCTTCTAGGCTCTTTATTACCAGTAAATGACTGGGAATATGGCAGCTGAAGAATTTACAGTGGAAGCTGAGTAGAGTTCCTTTAATGGTTCCTGCTTTGACCTGACTGAAAGCCTTTCAGAGATCAGTCTCTGAATGAAAACTTCTCAGGATGTGCATTTGTGTTACATTAATTAGCCTGTAACTACATCCTGCAATGTATATAATCAAAAACCTACATATCTGGATCATAACAGTTCCTCAAATTTGTTCTCTATATATCTTATAAATTATAGCTAAAGATCAAACTAACTTGAAAATCCATCCAACTGAAAGTTTGTTGTTATAATGCACAAAGACTCAAGTGATATACATAAGTATGGAATACTTTTTTCACCTCTCATTTCGCCTGTTTCTCAAGGATTTGGAAATTAATTACAAGCTGGAAATTTGGTGCTGTTCTTTATTTCACTTGTAGTTGGATTATCACTAAAATTACACAGAAAACTAGAATAAACACTAAGTAATATGCAAAGTAGGTAGAAAAACATGAAGAGAAAGACTGTGACAATCTAAATCTGAAATGCATTTGTCTTCAAAGAATTCAGGTCTTTTTAACTGGATGATAATAATTAAGATGATATATTTTCTTCCCCACTGACGATTCTGAGATACATGGATAAATTTTCCAGTTTCCTTTAGAATGTGAGAAAATTAATAAAATATTTTACTTTAGCAGAGAATTAAAGAGATTGGTAGATGCAAGTGAGGATTTTTAGTGACAAAATTATAATTTTAACTTGGGGTATTTACCATTGCTGTGGCTGTTTAACTTTATAAAAAAGTATAAAGCAATAAACCAACTGATTTATTTGTGGTTTAGGGTCATGGTAACCTCAATGAATTACATCTCCATGACCAAATATTTGTTGAGTTTGTTTTTTTTTTTTTTCCCCTCTAGTTTTCTGTTTCACAATAGTAACAATGTAAGCAGTAGCCAGAGCTGTGCCCTACTTGCAAGTAAGGGTCTTTAAATGAAAAATAAACATAAACCAATAATTGTGTTCATTTGCTCTTCCTTTTCTTGCATATAGCCTGTCTCTCTAGCAGTGAATTAATGGCATTGCCTGGCCATTACTGAGAATGAAATTTTGGTCCATGTTTAGTTCAATTTCATTATTTAAATGGAAGCTCAGATTTATTTTTTTTTTTCCTGTTGAAGCATATCTTTCAAATATACATTGATTATCTTAGACATTATTTATAGGATGACAGTTGAAATCTGAAAGCGTATATCACACAGAATATGAAGACAATAAACACAAGACATAGAAGAGTAATGGATTTTTTTAATATATGTATATATTAAATATTTTGTAGTATTGCATCAGGTGAATAGAGAAAATTATGTGAGTCTCATCATTTCAATTCAGATTCAGCCTGAAGCAATTTTTGGTAAAGAAAGCCAAAGACTTTCACCTGCTGTGACTGTTGGATCAGGTCCTTTGAACCATAGGAGAAAGTGCAAAGGATTAAAAAACAAAATAAAATTCAGTACATCCATATACTCTTGTGGGTCTGAGGGAGATTTTGAAAAATAGACAAAATAAAATTTCAATACCTTGTCAGAAAACAGAAATAGTGGTTTTATGTTCCTTCTTCCCTACGAGGCCATTAGAGAAGATAGTAATGCTTCTGAAAAAATGTACTATCTAAAAATGATGATAAAACAGAAATCAAGTGATATGCAACCTTATGGATAAAAAAAGTATTTTATTGTTTATGCTTCCATTCTTTATCTTCCAAGGTGAATGCAAAGCAAGAAACGGAACTGGAACTGAAGTCATTTGCTCCTCCTTACGTATGTATTGAATGGCTTTTCAGGTACTGCTTTACAGAAACTTTTTACATTGTACATTTCCTCTTTTGTCCTGTCTGATGAATATACTGCATGTTCTAGGCACTTTTTCCTGAATTATATTTATTACCTGCAGTGGAGCACTTTAAAGATGTTTATCCATTATTATCATCTACTCAACAAAGACATCACTTCAATGAAAATGATAATAGGTCTTGTCATGGATCAAGATTAGCCAGTCTTCTCCAACAAAAACCTGAAAAAAGCAAACAGTCTTTAGAAAGCAGTCAAAGCAGTCATCAGCTAGAAAATCAGAAAGTGCACAGTACTGTGGAATGGGGTGAGAAAGAAACTGTTCCAGTTTTGCACACAAAATACAAGCAAGACAATAACAACAGGATCCAAGGAAAACAGATAGAGTTTAGCGAAAAAGGTAAGTTTAACCAATGTAGTGAAAGATGGTGAAGGTGGAGAATAAGAAGTATTATGGTTAACATGTACAATAAAGCTATATATTCTAATATCTATTATTATGCAGATCAAAATGGATCCAGTGCCTCTCTCTTCACACCAAATCATTCAAATCCTGAAGACTCGAAGTCTGGAAAGCG